CATTCGGAATGCATTCGTTCAGCTCTGATAACAAAATCCCTCCTTTAACATCTTGATGGTGTTTCTTAGCGACCGCCACCTGAATATCATCGATATCTCGCTCAGAGAAAAGGATTTGCAAAAGTTTATCAGGATTTCGTCCACTCAAAAACTTACCAAGGACGTCTTTCCTTTAATCTTGTAAGGCGGCTTGTACGAGAACTTTCCTTCTTCGTCACAACTCAACCTGGGATTTTTCGGAAGGGCCTAGAGAAGAACGCACAATATTTCCACGAACTTGAGGAGCAAATGAAATGAGGGAAGTGAGACTGAACAGCTGTACACAGCAGAAGGACAACCAAGATTTGAAAAATGAACAAATCATGTAACGAGAAAGGAGAAGTTCTTGTTTTGTCAAAATTTCTTAGCAGTCCAAAAGACTAGATCTGAGCAAAAGATTACTTCTCTAACTAAGATCGATAAAAAAGAAAAAGGCAGAACCGTACGAGTTTGTCCTTGATAATGCGAGAAGAGAAAAGAAAACAAGAGAAGGAGAATTTTAAGGGGTCAAGATAAAATTAAGGATACATGATAAAGTGACACAGGGACTGCCCAGTTCAGGCTACGACAGGGATGGTTGAATATGGCGTATGACTGATAAAATAAAGTTGAAACACATTATGACGGATGTGAGCAGATATGTTAGGCCTTGTAAACATACCTCTTTCAGCCATGCCTCCGACCTCTTCGGCAAGTCGTATACTTGCAACTCATCCAATATCTCTTGCAAGGAAAGCGGCCATTGCTGTTGGCCAAGATGTCGTTTCTAGAATCGAAAGATACCAAAACAGCTAAGCAGCATTTATAAAGCTTACTTTCATGTAGTCAACAATCTTGGCCATTGTTCCAAAATTTGCGGCATTGCTGTGTGATACCGCTGTTCGGAAGTCCATTTCTAAAAAAGAAAAAAGTGAAAAAATCAGAGGCAAAGGGTATTTATATGCTAGGGCTGACCTGGTTTGGCCGTCGGTTGGGTGGTAGCCTTCTTCTTTTTCCTTGCTGCTTCAGCATTATAAGTTGTGTGGCTAGCTGATGGTGAAGGCTAGAGAAAATGACTATAGAACCATGTTTGAAAGAGAAAACAACGGAAAAATGCCTAGACGTACCAGTTGTGCTTGTGGACGCTGTTGTACGGAAACAGTTCGAGCTGCATGCTTTTGGAAAGCAGCACGTTGCCGTAAAAGCTCTGGATCCATATGGGTAACCCTGTATGTCAAATGTTGTTTTTGCGAAAGAAAACATAGTGACTCAAATGCGCATAATTGTCAACATGAGGAGCGTGGAAGTTGCCAATTTTCGAAACTGCAGCTAGAAACAAGCATGAACTAAAAGTCAGTCTTAAAGTGTGAGAAAATCAACGTTAAAATAATTTAATCATGGTATGTAGCAACAAAACCGGGTCTTTCGATGTTGTTTGGCAAGAAGACGACAAATGAACTCAGTACTGGAAAAGAAAAAGTGGCTAGTAACTCTCCGAATATAACAGCGACATGAAGCTTACCTGAGTGGAGAACAAAGTGAAACAGCTAAAAAGGAGAAAGAACATACTGATAGATATTGCTGAGGTTATTTATGCAATGTTAGGATGGGAGTAAATATACAAACCAGAATTTCTTGTAAGATTCTTCATTCTGCTGGAATCCGGAGACCCTGTTAGTTATTTAAAAGGCATTAAATGTCACAAAAAGTGAAAAAGGTAGCAAGAACGGAATGAATAGACAGAAACAAAAACACTTAAAGCCGGTAAACGTCAAAAAAGTAACCCAAGC